CCTATATTCAACAGCTAAACCTTAAACCCTAAGCTTCCCAGGCATGGTGGGAAGCCTCACTCCCTCAAGTTCTTCCGTGGAACAAGCCGACCAGAAACTGGGCTGCCGTCAGTTTAGGGTTTAGGGACTAAATTGCCGTACTGGGCTTCTTGTAAACGGGTTAAAGGAATCGTATACAGGTTCTTTAGGGTTTAGAGCTTACTTACCATGATATGAATATTAGGTACATGATAGGGTTTCCCTGTTTTATGGTAGCTTTGTTTAGGTCCCGTAACAGCAAGCCAGGAAATTCTGGGCTTTGTGCAGGATCTGCTGGAGATTGCTGAGGCCCGGCCAACATATCGAAGTGCCAAGCAGGGGCTCATGGAACTTTACGGTTTGGGGTCTAGGGTTTTGGGTCGGAGTTGTGAGGAGATGCAATGGGAAGCCTGAAGAGGCGAAACATTCAGTCTTCTACTAGCTTTCTTCAGTTGATGGGTTTAGGGTATAGGGTTCCCTGTCATGAGCCGCTCAATTCACCTCACCTCCATAGCCCCAAATCCTAAATCCTGTGTTCTTGACCTAAGGTTTCAACCCCAAACCCTGAAAGCCCAAGCCCTTAAACCCAATCTCCATAGAGCCCTCGATACAAGCCCCGTTTCCATTCCATTTTCCATGTTCTTTTCCACTTCCTTTTCATTATCCCCATAAACCCTAAACCCTAAATAGTAGCTCCATTTTTCTCATAATAGAGGGAAATAAATTATCTTCCAAAGAGGTCTCGCCTCATTGCCTTCGATTCATGGACAGCGAGGGGCTGCCGGTCTTGCTCAACGGCTTCGTGCCCTCGGGCACAGCAACGGACCCAGAACTCTTGAAGGTTTAGGGCTGTTGTTTGTGGGACTTAGGGATCTTAAGGTTTAGAGCCTAGAGGCTGAGCCCTAAACCCTGTTTAGGGTTTAGGATTTGGGGCTTAGGATGGGAGTTGGGCTTTAGGGTTTGGGGCTTAATATTTTATGAGTTGTAGGGATCGTTCTAGCTATAGGGTTTGGGGCCCGAGGCCTATCTTAGGGTTGCAGGGCTTGGGGCTTGGGGCAGAGGGTTTGGGTGTTGCAGTTAATGCATCCAGAAATTCCTTACTTGGAAACTCATGGGTTCCTGCGGTTGTGGGATTATGGATCGGGAGGAGACAAACAAAATTGCATCATAATGACTCCTCATGGTCTGTACGCAGTAGTCCTGTAATCACAAAACCGCTGTACAATCATGCAACTCATGAATGGCAACCCTACACCCTAAGTCCCAAGCCCTAAGCCCTAAACCCATACCTATACAGTCCCAGCGTGACCACCCAACTTAGGATCCATGCTCATAAACGATTTGGCTACTATTAAAAAAGACGCTGGAAATCAAGATGCTATAATAAGGATGCCCTGTTTCTTTGCTACATATTCATATTGTGATACCTCAGCTCAAGTTCCTTGACAGCAACCCAGGCCATCGCTGAAAACGGCACGCCTCGGCATTCTAAAGCTTTCTGCAGGGTTGAGCAGGGACTGGTTCTATTCTGGGCTGATCCCTCATCGCTGGACTTGGAGCCCTAATCCCTAAACCCCAAACCTCAGCCCTGAACCCCTAACCCCTAAACCCTAAACCCTACATAACCCCATTATAGTAGTTGCCATTTTCTTTTCTATTTTCCCAGGTTCTTCACAGGGTTAAAGAGAGCTGCCCAGGTTCTGACTGTGGAGATAGGGCCTGGCATGCGTCAACTTGCCGTCCAGCCGGAGGCTGCTGCGGACTGTGAGATCACTGGGGTGTAGGGTTTAGGATTTAGGCTTTGGGGTTTCGGGTTTAGGATTTGGGCTTTGGGGTTTGGGGCTTCGGGTTTAGGATTTTTGGGGCTTAGATTTTTTGGCATCAAGGGTTTTAAGTGCTTGTTCCTGGCTTCAGGACGTGGTTTTGGGGTTCCAAGTTTAGGGTTTACAAGCGCACTGTAAACAGTGACCATGTTTGGTCTGTATAAAAAGGAGCTGTCCCTGATTTTCTGAACGGGAACTTAGGCCTTAGGCAAGCTGACACACGCTTTGGATTTGAGGTTTGTTGTGAAGGGGTTTTCAAGGCATTGTACAAGAATGTCAAGGCGTATTTGAATTTTGATGATGGAGTGATTGCATGGCAGGTGTCCGGCGTTGGGGCCTCTTCTCGGTGTCCTTAGCGCAAGGTTTCTCTCCTCTGGGTGCCAGTCAGAGGCTTGCCAGGAACCCCCATACCTTGGCTTAAGCCGTAAAGCCCTAGATGTTACATCCCAAACCCTAAACATTTATTCCTAAGCTCTACAACAAACCCTACACCCCACAACAAATCCTAAATCTTTAAGCTAAACCCTACAACAACTCCTAAATCTTTAGCCCTAAGGCCTACAACAAATCCTAAGCCTTCAACCCTAAGCCCTGCAACAAATCCTAAACCTTTAACCTTACAACAAATCCTGAGCCCTTAACCCCTGACCCTGCAACCTACCTACCCTTGTGGCGTGTATGTAAACCCTAAACCCTAAGGCTAAACCTTAAACCCTCAGACACAAATTCTAAATCCTGAATCCTAAACCTTAAACCCTCAACCTTAAACCCTAAGACCCAAATCCTAAACCCTGAATCCTAAGCCCTAAACCCTCAACCTTAAACCCTAAACCCTAAAACCCTAAAACCCTAAACCCTAAACCCCTAAACCCTAAAACCCTTACGCATGATTTTGCCAGAGGTTTGCTCTGATCCCTCCGATGGTTTGCGGCGAAGCAGCAGATGTGACACTAGAAAAGCCTGACCTCGTTGGGGGCACCTTTAAAGGGAATATAGGGCTATAAAGGTTTTATAGGGCTTATCAGGGGGTTATATAGGGGTATATGGGGATATATAGGATTTACTTTTAGCCTGACTCTTTTATGATTGGCTTTGGAGAGGCTAGTTAGGGGTACGTTTTGGGGGGAATGTAGGGGTTATCTAGTGTTTAGGGTTTCCCAAAATTAGAGGTTCCTTTTCTTTGGGCATCCCTATAATAAGGATTGTAGTATTCTCCGTTTGGGGAAATTGCTTTGTGATTGGCTGTGGATAGGCTTGTCGTCTCAGCGCTCTCATGACATGTCAGTTTCTGAAACTTAGCGCTCCCTTGTTGGCAGGCTTTTTTGTACGTGACCCGCGTGCTCATGGTATACAGTGCACACTCTGGGTCCTTCGATATCCGCAAACTGTCCCGTGTGTTCAGGCGCATACACGTGTCTTGCTGGCAAGGCAGTTTCTGCTGCATGAGCTGCACTCGGTGGAGGAGCTTTGGGATGGTGAACACTTCCTATCGTTACCCTCTAGCAACCTCGTCCTCGTAATGATCGGCTTCATGGTCCTTACAGCTGTTACCGTGACAGTTGCCGTCGTACGGTCATGGCGTTGATGGCTGTCTTTTGTACGAACATCAGGACTAAACACGACTATTGGACGGTTGCTCCCATGGCCACCCTAACCCCAACGAAACATTGTGTCTTCTGTCTGCGCCTTGGCAGGAAGTGCTTCGCAACGCAGCGCTGAAGCGCCGGCGGCTGCAGGACTATATGTTGATTCCTTTTCATTTTCGCGCCCAGAGTAGAGTGCGGAAACAGTGTAAAGCGACGAGGTAGCTTCAAATCCACGGCCCCAAACTTTAAACATAGAAAACCATGAAGTCGGAGGGGCATCCCCAAAACAAAGGGTCTATTTCCTAGATCAGGTTCAATTTCTGGGCTTTTCTGTGTCAAGGTGGGATTCCAAACAGCTTTGTAGAGACTTCTCAGACTTGAACTCCAATGTAAGGGAATGATCCGCATCTCAGGGACTCAGGTATGTGCAGACGTGCCCATACTTCCTTTGAAGCTTTTGATAATAGGTGGAACTCCTTACAAGGGGTGCTCAAGACATTTGCAGTCCCCCCCTATGAAAACTGACAACCTAAGAACCACTGCTGCCCAAGCACCCTTTTCAAGCAACGTTCAACCAATGTGAGGCATAGATCTCAGTAGCAATTTCGAGATACTGGCGAATTTATCGATGTTGTGGCTTTTGCGCAGGGTGAAAGCATCTGAAAACCAAGAACCTCAACCTCTCCAAGGTAACATGGAACCCAACAGGGGGTCCTGTTAAGATGGGCGGTACGGGGTTCCGATTTGACATACTTTATGGAAGGGTAGCTGCTGCGCTTGATCTAAAGGATCTGGTTGGCCATGCGCAAGCACGGCGGCTGGCTACGAGCTCAGTCCAGTCAACTAGCAGGGCCAGGATTGTGGGATATGTGTTCTTGTGCAGTCCTACAGACTCCTTATATCCTAAGTGAAGTTAGGATGTTGGTAGGGCCTGCAGTTTGACTGGGCATCAGCTAGTGAGGGAAGAATTGCGAGTACGCACAGTTTGCATTGGGATTTTGCAGCGATGTTTGGGCAGGTAGGAAGATTTAGCCAACACCTTCATGCGGGCGCACAACGCAAACCAAACTGCATAACCACTGCAGTGAGAGTAATTTAGTCACAGTCTTGCTGCTCTTGCTGCGCCTGATGGTTGTGACGCCTATACCGTTGACAGTCTCCGCAAGGTGTTTCGCACCGAACTTCCGATCCACATTCGACGCTTGGCAGCCCTTCTATGGCATCATATCTTGGGGGGTGTCATGCATTGGATGAGAGTTGCTGTTGACTTTGCAAATATCTAATAGGCAGCCAGTCCCACGGTTTTTCATCATAAATGGACAAGAAATGGAAGCTACTATGCCGCTATGTAATATTCAGCATAGTCAGCAGAAGAAGCCTGTGAGCGTGGGATGCTCCATGTGAAGGGCAGAAGATCTTCGAGTGCTTGCTCGTGAAAGAGACGGTGAGGTTGCCAAATGAATCTTGGCTCTATTTGGGAATCTTCTGCCATGCCATGCAAGACCTGTAACCTTGGATTGTTACAGCTTAGTAGCGATTGCCCCCTAACCGGTCTAACTTTTGCTGCGCACAGGTCTGCCGAAGCTTTCTAGCCTTCTGCACCTCAGAAGGTCCGGAAGGCTAAAGTGCTGCATCCCTGGCTTGCACTACTTGTATTCAACATTCCGGCCTTGTAGTAGGAAGCCTTATGCAAAGCTTACGAACCCCAATTCAGATCGGCATGTATATGTATGTGTGTATATTCTGTGTACAATTCGAACTTAGGGATTCATGGGTGGTCAGAACTGATATTGAACACCCCTGCACCCCAAGCTTCTAATCCGAGGCGCCAAAAACTAAACCCTCAAACCCTAGACCTTTAAATCGCAAATTCAACTCCAGCTTCCATTCCCATTTTCTTCTCCATTTGATTCTCCATTAGTTGGGATATCCCCCGTGAAGCGTAGACCCTTTAACCCCAAACTCTTCAATCCCCCAAACCCTTACGCCCAAACCCCTGTTCCCTGAGGGCGGCGAGTCATTCCCGTCATTAACGACCGCGCCTTACAGGGCGGTCCAAAGGCTGCTCGACGCCTCGCCACGCTGGTGCACCCCTCCTTCATCTACATGGCCCCTTGTTGAGAATAATCGTAGTAATAATCATAATAACAGTAGCAAGAATACTAGTAGTAATAGTTTAGAATAGTAATCATACCAAGGGATTTGTTGAGGGATTAGCAGTTGGGGGTTCAGGGACTAAGGGGTATAGGGGTTTGGGGTAGTGGTTTTGGGGTTTAGGGGTGTAGGGGCTTAAGGGCTAGGGGTCCTTGCCTCATCCTCACAGCCCCTCAGCTCACGTGTAGCAATGTCAGCATGCTGTCTCGGGTTGTTGGGAAAGTCAACCTCAGCGGATTGGCGACGGTCCCTTAGTGGAGTTTGGGTTGAATTTCCTGGTTAGGGGATAGGGTTTAGGGTTTAGTATACCAAAATATCTCAGGATATGTGAGGATTGGGCAGGATTCAGGACTTGCAGTGCATGGTCGTAGGGAAGCGGAGGTCCAGATTTATCGCCACGTAACTCGCTATGCCACAAATACTTGACCAGACAGAAATGTGTTATATTGATACTGCTTGACGACAGGGAGCTTCTGTAGTTGTTCAATGTACAAACCTGGATACCTACCACTATAATCCCTCATATAGCTATGATGTAGATAGAGCCCAACAACCCTATTCTGATTGTTTAGGCTCCTACCTTATGTACAAAGTGTAGGTAGCCTTCTCGCGGATGGCTGACAGCTGAGGTTGCCGTCAAGGAGCATGGGGAGGCTGCATGTGCATTTCTGGAAGCCATGCTCAGCGAGTGCCCCTCGGAGTTCAACAGCTTGACGCGCGTCATGGTCAAGAATGCCCGCTTTGTCTCTGTACCTGGGCTTCGATCAGGGGCTATGCGGTGAGCATACGAGAAGGGTTTGGGACAACGAGGGGCCCTCATCTTGTGGCCCTGACAACGAGGAATCCCCAAATTTGTGGTTCAAGGTTTGGGACCTATCATGTCATCAGAGCGCCCTTTCAGCTGTCAAACATGCAATCAAAATTACATGGAACCATGGGTTAATCTGCTGCTGCGTGCGCAACTGAGTTCAGTCCAATTCATAGTAGTGGTAGATGGGACCCTAACCTTATACTCTATATATAAACCCTGAACAGGTTTTGGGCCTGGCAAGTGCGGGTTTCTTGCAGGGCTCCTCCACCACTGCTAGAAAGTGATACGTATCATTCTCATGAGTCGCTTCCCCTGACAAGAAAGCTTCCTCCACCAAATAAGATGTATTGAGCCTACTCCTTGAGCACATCCCAGCGCGCGATTGAGGGAGGCAAGGGGTTTGTTGGAGCGGAAGGGCAGGAGTATTCTTCCAAAACTGTGTGTGGCTACGTGCCGCTTCCACAACCGACTGGCAAGGCGACACTTCTCATACGCCTCCTGAAAAGAGCGGCGAGGCTCAACGAGGTTGCGCAGACGCACCAGCTTCAGATTGTTCTGGCGACTGATGTGAGCTATAGTCTAAACTCCTGCAAAGGAGGTTATATAGGGGATGATATAGGGGACTACTATAGGGGATATGAAGGGGGATACTAGGAGTTTAGACTATGGCTCATTTGGGACTTTGCAAAGTAAGAGGTGAATGGCCGGCCTTCACGCTCCTAGAGGGATGTGTTGAGAAATTCCAAGGTGCTGGCTGCTTTCAGTCGTCGCAATGGCTACAAAGCTACCTTCTGACCTTTACATGATGCCAAGAAAATCTGACATCATCCCTCAGGTGTGAGTAGATACTTATACAGGTCTCTATGTACTCCCAGCCTTATACCCATGTAGACGAGGAATGTAGAGGCCTCATTGATCATCAGCAGCAGGGGTAGCAGCAGGGGTAGCAGCAGGAGTAGGAGTAGGAGTAGGAGTAGGAGTAGGAGTAGGAGTAGGAGGAGTAGTAGTAGTAGTAGTAGGAGGCCACGGCGCTTTATCTTGCCATGGGTTATTCCCCATATTTTGTTGTTTTTCGTGCTTAAAACCTGCGTTTCGGAGCGATTCACGTCTATGGGTTGGGCACCTCAAAATGGTGTTTTCTTTTAAAGCGTGATTGTTCTGCTTGCGGATTTTTTGGGCTTGCATGCGCGCGAAACCACAGTTTCGGCAACATTTTTTGTTCATTTTTCCTCAAAATTGCTAAAGCGGTCTTGCGAGCTGTACCTGGTTTGAGGCATTTTTCTGCCCTGCGTTTTTGGGGGCTTCGATATTTTTGCGCGTGCTTGCACGCGAAACCCCAGTATCGGCAACATTTTATCTTAACGCTT